ATATATATATATATATATATATTTGCTAATCTATTTTCCTTGTATAATTCTTATCAAGTAAACATATGCAAACCTGTAGTTAGTGCTGGTGTCCACTCCTGTTCACCAGTAGCACCCCATAACAATGTTAAAGATTTATTTCCTGTAGAAGATATTGGATTTCCACCTTTATCACTACTTGACAAAGATAGATTTAGTTTCTGTGGTTTATTTTTTATATCTGTAAAGTAGTTATGAAACAGTTATAAAATTACATTCATAATCATATCATAGTTTATAATATATATTAATGATATACGTAATTAATATAAAATACTAACGATCTTGGAATTGATTTGTACTGGAGATTTCAGTATGTTCCATAGGTGATCCACTTACAGTAGAAATAACATCGGAATGTGGTTGTGAACACATTTGTGCTGGTACAGCTTGATAGTGGTGTTGTTGTATTAGTACGCCAGTTGGTCCTATAAAATTAACTTGATTTAATTAAATATCCATATGGTTTGTTTTCAAATCTTTACCTTTGGGGAAAATATGTGTCCATCTTCGTCTATTACTAGTAAGTTTTATTGTAACATGAGAAGGGTCAAATGGATTAATAAGTGCTCTACTAGGTCTGATAATATTCGTTGGTTGAGATATTGTATTTGTTGGACTCCCAGCACTACCAACAACTGGTCTAAAGGGTGGTGATATTTCTGAATCTGTTAAATCACTTTTGATTGATGTTCTTGATTCTATTTGGTATAAAATTAATAATTATTGTATGCATATAAGCATTCTTTAAAGTAATTCATACCATTTTCAGGCACATACCATTAATCTCTCCATTTGATTCGCTACTGGTAATATCATCTGTTCTGTAAGGTATAGAGATTGCTGCACTTCTTGTTGCAGCTATTGGAGTTGAATGTAATTCAGGTGGTGGATGATGAATATCAGGGTCAGACATTTTTCTTTTTAAAAGTTTTAGTATATGTGCATTATTATGTGTTTCCATGCTAGCAACACTTGTCTTTTTTGTCCTAGTTGTAACTCGTTGTAGACTACTTGCATAAAATGGTAAAATTTAATACTTTAATACAAAACTTCTAAAAATGTATTACATACTAATATTTTACCTGGAAGTATGAACAGAGGGTAACTGAAAAACTTGAGCATCATATGCATCATAGTCGAATAAAGAATTATGTAAACATTCCCTTGGATCTTCCTGCAAAAGTTTGTTTTTACATTGTAATTTTCCATTTTCTATTCCTGATTGTTTTGACACCCTCTGAGGAAGTTTTATGCGGGGTATAAATGTTGAATAAGGAATTTTTTTATTTGTTGAGTAAAAACTGAGATTAATCCAATGTGGCATACTATAGTCATCAGGTGCATTTATGGATGTATCTTTATTATGAAACTAAAATTATATTATGAATATTATTGTGCAATAATATATGACCATTTAATATTATCAGTATGTTAAAAGTACCTTTAACAAAGGAACTGCGTGTAATGGTTGTTCTCCAACACATACTAAATCACTACCAACACCATTATCAATGATTCTCTGTTTTGTAACATTTGTTAATTCTCTATCAACTTCAAAAACGCCTACACCAGGTGTAATTACCACTGATAATTGACCAGTTCTGTCAAAACTACGGTCTAAATAATGTTTTTCAAACACTATAAAAAAGTCAGATTAGGAATATATTATAATTCAATAATATAACAGTTACTTTGCTATTACCATTTAATGACATATTTAAAACTTCTAAAAAATTTCCTTGTGCAGCTGTTGAATTTACTGCTTTTGGTATAATATCACCTGGTTTCTGATGATATTCTAATACAATTTTTTGATAATCTGTAAACAGTTTACGTAATTGAACCAATACATTGCTCCAATCTTCGAATCTTTCATTTTGTACAACCACTCTGTAGAAATCTTCATAAAATCTTCCCCTATAATCATGTTGTAAACATTCGCGCATATGATTTGGAAATTCTTCCAAACTAGTAGCATTGTAAAATGTTCTTGAAAATAGAACTATTGTTACTTCGTGATTGCTACCATTCTTTTTCCATTTTTGAAATAAATCCGCTAAGAAGCCGTTAACTGCTTTTTCAAAATATAAATCACCATGAATGTCAAAATCCCACATTTCTGAACTCATTTGAATAAAGAGGTATACCATGCTTGTTGAAGAACGAAATACAACCTAAAACCAAAGTTTCTAGAAACAAGTACTTTAGACATATTTTGCAAATTAAATTACGATAGAAACCTTAGTATCATTATTTATAACACCACAAGCAACACGATCTCCTTGTGACCACATCTCGTACACCTGACATCTTATGCTACCTCCGCAAAATTCAATTTTTTTGTTCATGTATACACAAGTGTTGACCTGATGAAAATTTATGTGAGGTATAAAATGAAAATATTAAAATATCTATACTTGTATCCAGAAGTAAATAAAATGTTCTACCAAGCTGTTTTTCAGCCGCCACATTTCACTACGCCCCAAATATTGATCTTTGAAGGTAAGTTCAACAGAATCCAAAGCTACATCATCCGGATTTACAATATTCATATAGACATCCCCAAACGTTCTTAGTTGGAACATTGTTGCTACATTATTTTCCACACTAATCGTTTCACGCCCTTGTAAATCTTCTTTGAAGGATGTAACTTGCAGTAGAAGACGGCTGAATTCAACCTCTGGATGATAAATTTCGACAACATCTCCAGTTTTTATACCTGGATGATCTTTTGGATTGATTATAAGGTCTTCTTCACTAAAGGTTTTTTGATGTACTATCAACTTATAAAGCTTCATTTTTAGCCCATTACTCTGTTGATAGTAAGTTTAACTGTAATATATGATAAAAGTAAATTATAGATGTTTGAATATACGCAAACATTATCATGCATTTCATATATACTTTATAAGATAAAATTTCCATAGTTTCAAAAATTTGAAATTAGTTATGATTGAAATTTTAAAGCAAGAAATAAAATGTTTATTTTGCATGTTTAGTATCATTAGACATACTTTACATGCATTTAAGAAAGGTAAAAAGCAATTAACTTACTATCAATATTTACCCAACATAAAGTAATCCTTCAAAATATTTAAAATAAGTATTTCCTTTTATATGACACATTTATATGTTGTTAACAATGCATTGTTAAAAGATGACAATGTACTATTATTATCAAAGAATAAACAAATGTATACTACAATTTATGTGAATTCCCAACACCTTTCCCTCCTCCAACTTAATTTATAAAATAACATAAATGATGTGAATTGTTTGTTTATCCTTTAAAGTGTATCAAAAATTAGCACTATGCACTAGGGGAGAATAATTAATATCAAACTCAACATCTAAATTTGCAGTATGCTTTATTCTTCAGAATTTTGATGACACGCATCTGTTTGGTAGAAAAATGTAACTAGCCATCAAGTTTCTTTTATGCGATCGATAACGTAATTTGCTTGATCCATTAATCGTGTGCAGTTAGTTGTATACCAAGGTAATGTAATCACAATAATATACACAGAATCTTGAAAGGTCTGTAAATACCTTCCTAAGAAAAAGCACAAAACTAATAAAATGGAAACTTCCTTAAGCCAAAATGTTATTGGCAATAATTAAATCCAAAACGATGGAAGGTACCTTATGTTGTTACAAACTGATAAATCATATTCAACTGCGACGCAAACAACAGATTATGGGCATCAAAATGTATATTATTAACATTACGTAAAGACTATTCACTATGCTTCTACTTTAGTGTAAAATTTACATTTTGTTTCTTCTATACTTTATTATATCATGTTTATTATAATAGGTATGTAATAGGATATTTAGTTATAAAATATGGTTGATTATTTTAGTACCATATGTGAATACAATGTATCAATTAAATTATATCACTTGTTACCAAAGTTTTACCATCTATATCTCACATGTGAACATAGGTGAAATATTTTGTTTCTCTATGAAAAATATATTTTACTGATACTAAATGCTTTAAAACAATGCTGTGTATTATTATTATTCCATAAGAAATGTTAATAAATGTCTGCGTAATTACTATTTCGTTAAGTTTCTATAAATGGTGATTCATGCCATACCTATATAAAGTAAAAATTTAGTTAAATCATAACAAAAAATAATGTTCTATTATTTGACAATTTTTTTATTAAATCTTTCTTTCATAATGTTGCGTAAGGAAACTTTCTGACAATTGTACGATAATTAAATATTTTATGGAATTACCAATTAGACGCGAAAAGTTCATACTAGTGCAATCTAGTACTAAAATCATGTACTAATTGGTAGTAGTTCAAGTATTTTAGCATACATAGCACCACTGTTCATTTCTACGCGGTTAATTTTTTTATTTCATTTAATATTCAATTATTTATGGCTTTTCTTAAGATTTGTCCTTCACTATTATCGCATGAAAGATTTATAAAATATGATCAATCATAGAATACATTTTTTACTTCAAATTAGCTACGTTTTTTATAATTTTATATTTTATGACATGCCAAGTCAAGTATTACGATTATTTAATTAATTAAATAATAATAATAAGTTATATAGAATTTAGTTATAATATTATACAAAATGGATGCTAATTTTCCATATAAAATTAAATTTATAGTGCAATGCAGAAATTGTGAAAATTCTATTTGTGTTCCATTCAAAACTGTACAATGATTTTGTATTAATTTAAACAAATTTATTACTTAATATCAAAATCAAATTAAATCAGTGTAGAGTTATGCAACGTTGTCATAGTTACGTAATTTATTCTATAGATATTTTACGTAGATTTTGAAATCTATTGCGGTTTGGAAATGCAGTTGTGTAATGCAGCTATGCAGTTTTTATTGCGCAAATGCAGGGTTACCATTTAACAGGTTCCTAGAAATGCGGCGTCTGCTAGAGCACTGACAGTGCTTTGTTATCGGAAAAAGTGTATTTTAATCTAATCGGTGATAAGAATTTAAGCCTTACGTATATAATATGAATTTGATAATTAAATTCTAAAGAATGTATTTCTTCAGTATTCTGCTGTCGGCAGCCTATTCTGGTTATAGTGTTAACTTTACTGTATCACATAGAATGTTTAACCTATATATGATGTTTCTAACGTAAAGTGTCAGTGTGATTGTTATCTAAAAACTGAAAAAACATCTCTGATTAAATGATGAGAGATGCGTACCAGGGGCCTGCTAATGTTCCTTATCTGCATAGCAGGGAGCAGCATTGTTTTCATTGCTTTCAGCAGTCAACGACCCTCCATTCAGACTCTGGTTACAGAGACTCACAAACAGCTACGTAACTTCCAAGTAAATATATAAATCCTTTGATAATATTTAATTGTATTAGTATGTTGTATATTAATGTTAGAGCTTATTCCTTTGCCTCATATTTTTTCAGGAAAATTTCAAAGATGTTGAAGAGAAACGCTTGGTAACAGACTCTAAGTATCTTGCGATGCTTGGTTTAGATGGGCAAACAAGCACAACACCCTTTAGTCCTAAATCACAAAATGTGACTGTTGTCTCTCTTATAAGGCCAGGAAACGAACAGCACATTTATGGCTTTGTTAGAAATGTCAGTCATTTTTTGCCAAATAATAGTATTGTCATTTATAGTGTTGGTTTAAATGAAGATTCTTTGCAAAATATTAGAGCAATTTGTAATTCTACAAAATGTAATGTGACTCAGTTTGACACCAGCCCATTTCCTACACATGTTGAAGACGATAGACTACATGTGTATAGACCTTTAGTTATTCAGGTAATTAATTTGTGTCTACATATGTGATAGCTAACATAATTAATAAAAATATTGAAATATTTCCTTTATGTATCACAGATAGCTTTAAACACATTAGGAAACATATTATACATGGATTCAAATGTGCGTTTGAATTCATCAGACATTTCAAAGTACCTTTCACCAAAATCTGGGATTTTAACTTGGCCTACGAGGCATGCGATTAGCTCTTTAACGCATCCAAAGATGTACGAATATTTTCACGTTTCTGCTGAAAGCTTCTTCTTTCTCCCTTTGATAAGAGCATCTCACTTAGTTATTAGGCATGTTAAAGAAATTAGAGAGAAAGTAATGTTGCCATGGATTCAGTGCGCCTTAACAAGAGATTGCATTTGTCCCATTGGTATGTATACCAGAACTAAATTCATCTGCTTTAT